AAAAAAAAAAAAAAAAAAAAAAATTAGTAAGGGATTCTTAATCCCCACTCATCTTCCACATCCTACTTCCCTAATATCCAGGTGCCTCATACCCTCTTCTGCTTCAGGGTTTTTCTGAAATGTCACCTTCACAGCCATGCATTCCTTCCTCTTCCCTCCCTTTAAAAAAATGAACCCACATAGCACTCTCTACTTTATTTCTTTCTTGATTTATTTTTCTTTTTCTCTACCATGCTATCAATGCAATAGCATTTGTTTGATGGATTGTCCTCTCTCCACTGGAATGTAAGGAATGCTTTTGTTTTGTGCACAGTGGTGTCACCAAGGCCTAAAGCGGTGCTGACCATGGAGTACTGCTCAATAAATTGTTGTCAAAGTGAATGCTTTCTTCAGTTTTGTCTCAGGATTCTGGTGTGATAGTTGCTCATAATATAGAGCAAATGGGGTGCAGAATGAGCTGGGTCCTGTCTGCATGGATGGCAGCTCCTGCTAGGAGGTGGCCAAGGTGACAGTAGAGAGCAGTCTAGACAGGCAAAGCAGCAAGCCCAGCACATCAGAACTCTGTTCCCTGTAAAGGGCCCTGGCAAAACCAGGTAAAAAGGGATGTCACATGATGGGATGGTCTGCCCAGTAGCATTCAGAGCCCTGGGAAGGAGGCTGGCAAGGACAGATCAGGATGACTGGAAACAAAACCCAAACTCAATGTGGAGACTAGGAAGGCTGCCAGGAATAGGGAAAGGTAAAGGAGGGGGGCACTCATCATCCTTGGGTGACAGCGGGAGTCTGAGATGGCAGAGGAGCCACTGGACAGCCCTGAGATACCTAAGACACAAGCTAAATTGCTGAGATACCAAAAATCCAGGCACATTGCAAATGCTTTGAGGCCACCTCCCTCACATCCAGATGGGCGTGGGCCGCTCACCAGTAGTGCTCAGATCTGTACCACCCAGGAATTCCTTAGCAATGCAGATTCCCAGACACCCTCTCCCCACCGAGTCAGACTCTCTAGAAGCAGGACCAACAGTCTGGGCTGTTACAAACCCCCAGCTGATCCTGATGCCCACTGAGGCCTGAGAAGCACTGCAGGAGTCCAGGGGGAATAGCTGAGCATGATACAGACGGGAAACCAGGCAGATCCTGTCGCCAGTCTAGAGGCAGAGAAAAGAACTGCTTTCTCCTTTATCCCTGCTGGTTTCCACTTCTCACACCAGTCTCTGTGACTCTTTTTCCTTTAGTTTTTATTTTATTACTTTAGAAGGTACCCATATTCTTTTATTTAAAATTTTCTTTTGAATAATGGAACAATATCAACCCACTTTGGCAGATGAGAAATTCCATGTTCAGAAATGTACTTTGTCCTAGTCCACACAGCTAGTGAGACTACAGCCAGAACTTTGAACAAAGAAAGGTTGAGTGTCCCTCCTCTGAAATCCAAAGCTCCAAAATCTGAAGACTTACTTTTGAATAATGGAACAATATCAACCCACTTTGGCAGATGAAAAATTCCATGTTCAGAAATGTACTTTGTCCTAGTCCACACAGCTAGTGAGACTACAGCCAGAACTTTGAACAAAGAAAGGTTGAGTGTCCCTCCTCTGAAATCCAAAGCTCCAAAATCTGAAGACTTTTGAGCACCAACATGATGCCATGAAGGGAAAACACCACTCCCAGCCTCATGTGATAGGTCACAGACAAAATGCAGGCACATCAAAACTACACTACATGTATATGAGATAGTATGAAAAATAAATGAATTTTGCGTTTAAGCTTAAGTCCCATCAGCCAGGTATCTCACTATGGATGGGTAAATATTCCAAAACCTGAAAATAAGCATTTCAGACAAAGGATATTCAACCTGTAGTTTGTTTCACAAAGAAACCATGCCTTAAGTAGGGTATCACTGATATTACACAGTGAGATCAAAGACTTCTTCTTCTTCTTCTTTTTTTTGCAGTACCAAGGATTGAACCCAGGGCCTCATGTATGATAGGCAAATACTACCACGGAGGTGCATCGCTAGTTCTTTTTATTTTTTATTTTCAGATAGAGTCTTTTTAAATTGTCCAGGCTGGCTTTGAACTGCCTCAGCTGCCTAAGTAGCTGGGATTACAGGCGTGTGAAACCAAAGACTTCTGATTGTTTTTAGGAATAACTAGTGGTGACTAGTTTTGGAATCCTTTTCTCCCTCGTGGGCTGGCTTCACACATCTCCACTGGTTATCTCTTTCCACCCTCTTCAGGACACTGGGCTGTATGTAGCCTCTTGTAACTGGCTCTCTTGCTCACAGCCTGTTTTCCCACCAGTCTTCTCATGAGCTGGAAAGGGGGTGGTTATGCTCACACACAGAGTGAGACCCAGGTTTTGCTTAGTAACCAGGCTGGTAGTGGGAGGGGGTACCAGTCATACGGCAAAGAAAGGATGGCTCCATTCATCCTTTCTTGAAACCGAGAGGCAGACTTGGCTGCTCTACTTTCACCTCTCAGCAGTCTCTTTTAGATGTCTATAAATTTCATTCCTATTTCAATGGCTCCAACTTGCTGCTTTTCAAAGGAAAATCTAATGGGCAGAGAAATAGAGACATTCTCCGGCCTTCCAGGATCCTGTCCAAGTCAGGCCCAGCACACATAGCCTTGTACTGCAGTAGGAAGCACATTCATTTCTTAGAGAAATACAAAGCTCACTGGTATGAATGTTGAAAAGTTGGGAAACTCACAAATAATAGGCTTACCTTCAAGTTACAAGGCAAAGTCTGCAACTTTTGTTCCTTTAGCCGAGCAATCTGGGTTATGAATGTGCCATCAAATGTGTTGCTTCAGAATTTGAACTGTGATCTGGGGAAGCCCATTTAATAATCTCCAAGTCTTATTTTTCTGCACTGTTGGCCAGAAATGCCTGGCTTACCACCCTCTAGGCACTTAGCAAAATTTTACTTTCTTGGCTCCCTAGTTCTGACCAGCAAGTAGCATCAAACTGTCATCAAATGCAAAGTGCTTGAAACCCTTATGCTAAGAGCTTTAAGGATGCCACTGTCAGGCTGAAGTATTTAATTGTTGTGTTGAGAGCATTCTCCAGAATGCTCTTGTCCTTTGCTGTGGTCACTTTGGGATAGTGGCTGCTCCATCAACCCAAGTCCCATAGTGAGGAAGAAACCAGGCAATTGTCCATGAGGAGAGAGAAGGAGGGAGAGGGAAAAGGTGGGAGGGAGGAAGAGGGGCAGGGAGATTGTTGCTATAAGACTTGGAGGTATTTTATTAGTGTAACATCACTTAATCTATCCTGATTGAGAAAACCCAGTCAATTAACTATTGAACTGTATTATTGCTAAGTAATTCTTTTTTCTCTCTTAGTGGTTGGTTAAGTGCCAGGTCATTTCTAAAGATGCATCAGAATTCAGACAAAGGAATAACCCTTAAGGTTATATTCAGATACTTTTTCAATCGCCTTATAAGGTAGGTTCATTTATAGAATTTCTTATTTACTTGTAGCTGTGCACTAATTTATTATTATTTTTTCAGTGTTTAACCCACATTTGAAAGAATTGTCTAAGACCAATAAACTGAGAAGCTAGCTTTTGTTTTCCTTAAAAACATATGGTTTTTGCTGTTTTATTATGGTTCGAATTCCAGTAAGACAAATGCTATGAGAGTTGGTATGTTCATGGGCAAAAACTATCTTTCTGCTGATGGGAAACAGATTTCAATAAATGCACCAACAATTTCCACAGAATCTATGAAAATTAGTATGGCTGCAAGTTAGTAGATAATGGATCTTGTAAATCAGAGTATGAATGGAAATGACAAAATATGATCAGGACAATAACTGGGCAAATCTTGGGACAATGGCCATTCTGCTGAGGGGGAGGCAGGAAATGCTGGTCTCCCTCCCTTTGGAATCTGTGGGCGGTAGAAGCAGAAGGGATCTCAATATAGGCACAGAAGATAATAGAATCTGTGAGAGCAGAATGGCAGAGATTCAATGAGACAATCATAGTTAAGGGACAAGAGGAAAGTTCAGTCCTCTCATGTATACATCTTCTCAGTCATGATGACCACTGGGCTGGAACCCAGATCTGGTTACTTCTGCTCCAAGCCCATCTTGGTACACTGCACTGTTACACAATAGCTGAAACAATTGTCAGGGCTCATAAAACGGAGAGGGCAAGAGTAGACTCCAGAGTTCCAATGAGCTCATACTCTGACTCAATTTTGTGCCACTGTGTGACTTTAAGTGTTTCAGAATTTCTGTGCTTGAGTTCCTCATTTCTATAATGGGGGAAAAAGTGGCATTTACTTCACAGGACTCTGGTAAGGACTGAATGTGATAACGTAGGTAAAGAACTTAGAAAAGTCCTTAATAAGCATAAGCTTTTGTTTTACTGTTGTTGTTATTTCTACCTTTTATTTTTCTTTCAGCTAGGGTGAGGATGAGGGTGAGCTAAGAAATAGACTTATTGATTTCTTTTCTTTTTTAAGTTTTATATATATATATATGTATATATATATATATATACACACACACACACATATATATACACACAAACACACACACACACACACACACACACACACACACACACATATATATATATTTTTATTGTATTGATTTCTTTTCACTGTGAGCTCTAAGGCTCTATCAAGCCTAGCCCTTCTCCCAGCAAGGATAGTTTGCCCACTCTCCCTGAATCATTTGCATGGGACATCTGGGGTTAAGCAGATGTCCTACACTGGGGTTCTCTGCAGGAAAGGGACTAGTGAAGGGTCAGCTAGGGATGGGAGAGGCACCCACAGGCATGACAGGCGTGCCTGGGAAACCTGCTGTGCAGGAGTCAGGACAGAGAAGCAAAGGTGGGGGCTGGAGGAGCACTCGGTGGAAGCTGGGTGGTGGGAATGCTGTGGGGGAACATGAGGTGCATCAACCACCGGGGAAATTACCACAGTATCCAGGCAGGAGAGCAGGGTTAGACTGGTGATTGGCAGTGGGAACGAGGACAGGGGAAATCAAGGAAGTGAAAATCCCCAGCTGGAGCAACATGGTAGATGATGGTGGCATTCTGGACATAGAGAACTCTGCAGAGGATTGGAGTGGGCGCTAGGAAGGGAATAAATCTGACCTGGGCCAAAGCTCTGTTGAAAACGGGACCATTACACGCAGTCCCAACTCACTGGCTCTAAGCTGTGTGGGGACAAAACAGCTACAGCCTGACCCGTTGGATGTTCTCATTGTTCCCCCTATTGAAAGAAGAAAAGGAATGTTCAAAGCAAAGAGAATGCTGTGAAGCAAGAACAGTCCACGTAGGGGGAAGTGAAGTCTTGAGGACAGACAGTGGTTGATGGGTGTGGAGACCCGCAAAGAGCCCAAAGGTGTTGCCTGTAGTGCAGTGAGCAGTGTGGTGAGCAGGAGGGCACAAAGACAGAGAGGGATGAGGGCAGGTTGTGTGGGGCCCCTGGGCTGCTGTAAGAACGTTGTACTATTCTGACACAGAAGCCTTTGGAAGGTCTCGCCACGGTCAGATTTACATGTTTCCAGAGACACTCTGGCCACAGGGCAGCAGGCAGGCTGTGAGGAAGCACAGGCAGAAGGTAGGAGGACCACTCAGGAGCCACCACAAGTTGTAAGAAAATCAAAAACCCAACTTCTAGGAGTTACTCAGGATAGAGATTATCTGATGGGAAACATAGTACGTGCTCTAGAGCTTTAAAACTGCGTGATTACTCCAACTAGGAGGCACATTAAAAATTTGTCTTTCTTATAGCTTGTGATAAAGATGTGTAACTGCAGCAGAAGATTGCAACTAGAATGAAGAATCCTCTTGCAGTCTCACTTCTCATAGGACACTTTTGTTAAGAGTTTCAAAGCACAGGCAGAAGGTAGGAGGACCACTCAGGAGCCACCACAAGTTGTAAGAAAATCAGAAACCCAACTTCTAGGAGTTACTCAGGATAGAGATTATCTGATGGGAAACATAGACAGTACGTGCTCTAGAGCTTTAAAACTGCGTGATTACTCCAACTAGGAGCCACATTAAAAATTTGTCTTTCTTATAGCTTGTGATAAAGATGTGTAACTGCAGCAGAAGATTGCAACTAGAATGAAGAATCCTCTTGCAGTCTCACTTCTCATAGGACACTTTTGTTAAGAGTTTCCTGTGAATTATTTTTTTCTTTTTTCTTTTTTTTGGTACTGGGGATCAAACTTGGGTCCTTGTGCTTGCAAGGCAGGCGGTGGAACCACTGAGCCAAATCCCAGACCCTCCTGTGAATTCTTGCAGAAATTTTACATGGAATCATAAGCACTGTTTCTTCCCCCATGAATAGGATTGCACTATCTACTACGTTATTTTACAGTGGTTTTTTTCACTTAAGGATAAGGTGTTGGCATATTCCCGTCTGCCCGCAAGGTGTCACTGATGTTAAAGGTAGCTTGTATGGTGCTGCATGGTGGGTGAGCCATTATGTACTTAGTTATGTATTACATATTAGTTACGTATTAGTGGGCATGGAGGAGTTTCCAGGTGTTTTGCTCTCTTAGACAAGAAGACCATGCACACACATATATGTACACTTGCATGAGTGTGTTAGTGGGGTAAATTCCTACAGTGGAGATGGTGGTTTGGCTGCACCTAATATTTTGATGGATGTTCTCCACTTTACTGTCCCACCCACCACGTGTGAGGATGCCTGCTTCTCACAACTGCATGACTCTGGCTAGGATCCTCTTGTTGTTTTTTGTATTTTTCCCAGTGCTGGCCTCAAACATTTTAGACATGAGATCTATCACTAAACTATACTCCTGTACTTCTAGTCTCAGGATCCCTCTTTTTTTTTGTGGTACCGGGAATTGAATTTGGATCCTTGTGCTTGCAGGGCAGGCTGCGGGACCACTGAGCTAAATCCCCAGCCCAGGATCCCACTTTTAAAGCCTTTGATTTTAACTCTCCTGGAACCTTGGCTAAAAGTATAGGGCATGTCCATCTCTGTGGTGCTATAGATATTTCAAAGACTCTCTTTTATCTCCCTGGATTCTCAAAAAAATCTTAGGAAGAAAGAATGCCCTCTCCCATTTTTTGGCAGTACTGGTGGTCAACCCTGGGCTTTGTGCAAGCTAGGCAAGAGTGGTGCCACCACAACCCACATTTTATGCAAGAGGGAAAAGGAGAAGTCATACTTTGTGTTTAGCACAATTTAGGCAATGCTAGAACTCACTTTGTTTTTTTTCTGTAGCTTTGCAATTTAAGGAGTGCCCCTCCCAGCTGCCTCAGCCCCCCTAGATCCCCCGTACAGAGGTTTCCTTTTAACCAGCATCCTGACTGGGGATGCACAACAGCTGGAAACACTGTTGTGAGGGCAGGAGGTTGCTACCTCCTGATAGTGTCTGTCTCAACAGCTGCTTTGGAGGGGAGCAGGGCTGACTCCCTTCTAAGGAGAGGGAGGTGACAGGTGGGAGCCCAAGGAGGTGGGAATCAGAGGCCTGCAGAGTGGCCATGAGGTCAGATGGCCAGCAAGGCAGACCCAGGAAGGCCCAGGGAGGCACCTGCTCCCTGAGCAAACACACATGTGAGCTGATCTGGACATGGTCACTACAGAGGATATATGAGGTAGGCTTCCAAAGGCTGCCTGTAGAGTCAGGTGCTAAAGACAGCCGAAGGGCTGTCTGCTTGCTGACAGTTAAAAGTGGATTTGTTTCCCCAGCATCTCCACTTGTGTTTGGGGCCGGGTATTTAGCTCAGTGGTTCTGCCACCTGCCTTGTAAGCACAAACCCGAGTTTGATCCCCGGTACCCCCCCCAAAAAAAGGAAAAGTGAAAGGCCAGGAGCTCACTGCAGAGTCCTGTGTGAGATTGTAACCAGGAAGCCAGAGTCTAGGCCAGAAGGCTGGCGAGTCTGAGGCCCAGGGATGGATGTCCAAAGGCGATGGCAAAGACTGGAGCTCCTCTGAAGCAGAAGCGAGACTTCTTTCCCTTTTTATTCCACCCAGACTGCAAGCCTATTGATTGGTGCCACCCAGGCCCAGGGTGGCAGTAAGAGTCGTCAGTAAGAGTCCATCATCCAGACACACTCAGAACTGGGTTAAACCAATCAGCTGGGCACTTCTTATGCAAGTTGACACCACAGTTAACTATCACAGTTGCCTACTCTTTGTCTCTGACATCAGTCAGCAGTTCCGTTCCAGCTCATCGAAAGCCCAGTGGACTTGCTCTGCGTAAGACGATGTCACTTCACGGAGACAGGAAGGCCAACAGTTCTGGCCCCCAGGTGCAGACCAGAGACTCGGTGCTGTTCTACCACCTTGCTGAAGGAGGGGGACACCTTTAAGTGGAGACACTATAAATCCTGCCAGCTCCCGTCTGTCACACCCCACCTAGATATTTAAAGGTGCTGGGGGGCCATTTCCTCTGTCCTTGTTGAGTGAACTACCTTGAGTTTCTAAATGTATTATTTTTATTTATTTATTTTGTGATGCTGGAGATAAAACGCAGGACCTTGTGCACGCTAAGCAGTCATTTTGTCACTGAGCTACACTCCTAGCCCAAAATAAAAATTTAAATATTTTTATTGGTGCGTATTAATTTTATAAAATATTGGGTTTCAATAACTTTCACATTGGTATATAATATATTTTGCTCATATCCATTCCCCCATTACCTTCTCTTGCATGCCCCTCCCGATTTCCTTTCACTTGTCTAATAATAATCTTGTTCCTACTTTCATGTCATCTTATTTCTTTTCAATTTTTAGATTCGACACATCAAGAAAAGCATGCCAAAATATTTTCTTCCCTTCCCCTCCCTTTCCTTTCTTTTCTCTTTCCTTCCTTTCCCTTCCCGTGTTGTAGAGATTGAACCTAGGACCTTTGCATTGAGCAGTATCCCCAGTCCTTTGTTTATTTTGTGACAGAGTCTTGCTAAATTGCTAAATTGTCCAGGCTGGGCTCAAATTTGTGATTCTCCTACCTCAGCCTCCTAGCATGCTCAGATTACAGGCATGCCTCACCGCATTCAGTTTCAAAATGTATTTTTTAAAAAGAGAGATCTGACTCCAGACTGCCCAGAATCTGTGCCAGAACTGTACAACCTCCCCACCACACCCTCACTTCCAAACCCTGGACATTCACCGTTCAGCATGTGGCCCCAGACACCAGTGGCCCCCTGAGTGCACTTGTACAACTGAAGCCTTAGTAAAAGGATGCATAAAATGGCTAATCGATATTGGTTTCATGTTTGAATTGACAATATTTTGGACATATTAGTCTAAATGAATGGCATTAAGATTAATCGTACCAGTGTCATTTGACTTTTCAAAATGTGGCTACTAGAAAATGCTATGTGGGTGGCAGTTGTGCCTTGTGGTTCTATTTCCTTTGAGCCGCACTGGTCTAGATGTCTTGTGCTTTATTCGCTGCCATTGTTGCTGCTTCACATCCTGCTTGGAGGGAGGAAGGATGCGAAGGAAGGAGGGAAAAGAGGAAGGGGAAAGATGGAGAGAGGAAAGGGGTTTCTATTGAGCGAGCCACGGGGAAAGAACACAAACTGGTGCGAGATCTCCGTGCTGCTCTGTGGCCGGGTGACCATGGACAGTTTGTCCCACTTCTCTGAGCTCTAATCTCAGAGGTCGTGGAGGTAAAATGGAGTAAAAGCTGCCTGAGAAAGTAGTATCAAAGCTCCCATCGCAGTGACTGACTGAATGACTTGCTCAATAAATCACAGTACTTTTGCGTCAGCAGACCCACAGCAGCACGTGACGGGTGCTCAGTGAATTGTCCTGGACCCCTGAATGCGTGGGTGCTTGAGGTCTGCTGGGGAGGCGGCTGCCACCCATGCAATGTACCACGTGCCCACAGAGGGGACTGAATGGATCTCTTGTGGACAATCACCTTTTGTCTCCTGCCAGGCTGCAGCCTCTTCACCTGTATTCCGTGTGCTTGTTGGTTGGATTGTTCTCTCTTGTTCCCTGGGGACCTGTTTGGGAAGTGCCCAAATTCCACTGGGATAACTGCCGGCAAGCGTGGTGGACAAACCTGCTGCTGCTGAATAACTTCGTGTTAGTTCGAAAGGCGGTGAGTCTCCACTTGCTAGGGCAGATGGGTGCAAGGAGGGTACCTTGATCACACGGTCTGGTGAACTTTCCAAGGGCCAACCTGAGGCTCATCTGCAGAGGTAGGGATAGTTGCCACCATGCCCATTTATGCCCAGGGGAAGCTGCTGAAAGTGGGGCACAGTGGGACACAGAAGTGCTAGTGAGGGGTGACAGTCTAGATGCATGTCCTGAGGCAGCTGCTCCCACTCTACTGTGGTTCCTGAGCCAGTACCCATCACCCATGAGGAAGGCCACTTTCCTTCCTTGTGCAAGGAGACCCTCCGCTGGGGTGGAATATCACACTGTACTCTTACCATAGTGAATTCTACTCAATCTCAAGCCAGAGGCACAAAACCTGGATATGGCATGGTCTCCCCAAAGCCTCAAAATGAACTCATTGAGATGGAAAGTGAAATAACCTATAAGTTCAATCATGTCACCAAGCCCTCATATGTTTTGAAAGTGGGGCTGAGAAGAAAAATTTTGAAGTGTGGCAGGCCCCTACTGATTGCACCTACCACTTAGTACCAAGATGGCCAGTGCCCGACAGCTTTGATAGGATGTGCATCACTGCCGCCTGTCCACAGGTGAGGGCCTGGCACAGGTGACTGGGTCCTGGGGGTAGATGGGGTGTGTTCTCAGATGCAGACTGGCTCGAACCATTTGTAGGAGTCAATTGCAAAGACAGGAGCTAATCTCCTCCTGAGATACACCCTACCTGGAAGGAGAGGTACCAGGGATCTCAAACCCAACCACTCAGACTCTTCCCCACCACAAGGGCTTGTCATTGACTGTGGACACAGCTTTCCCTTCTGTTGCAGAAGTCTGGGCTTGCTGAGAATTTGGAGTCCAAAGAACAGAATTTCCTCACATGGAAGACAAAATACAGGCACTGCCTTATTTTGCACAAGTATGGTCAGTCTGTGGAACCATGTGGCTTTGGTCAGACAATCCCACGTCCATCTGGCATGAGAATTCTGCGGTTCCCACAAAAGTGAATCTGGAGCCAGGCCTTGGTGCCAAGTGAACAAATTCTCTCCACCTAGAGTTGGGGCTGGGGCAGGCACCGGAAGAGAACAAGGCCAAGCCCTCTGAGTTCCAACCGTACCAAAGGATAAACTCATACATTCCTATAACAGGAAGGAGTTCATTTCCCACAACTGGCACAGGAAACTAGCTATTATGGGTTTCTACAAACAGAAGAGAGAACTTGTGTGAATCTCCATGTTACAAAATAGCAATAATGATACCTACTATCCAGGCTTGTTCAAGGATGGATAAAATGAGGAATGTGAACTGTAACTCAAAATTCCTTCTCTGCTCACAACAGTCCCCCAGCCCCTCCCACTGAGCTCTTTCTCCTGGTGACCTGTGGAGCACACCTAGCTCCTGATGTGGGTTAGTCACCTTGCTTCTCTCTTTTCAGTGCAATGGCTGGACTTGGTACCTGGCCGATGACTTCCAGCTCCATCTCCTAACACCGGTGATCATCTTTATCTATGGAAGGTGAGTCTAGGACCAGGGGATTTAGCTCAGTGGCACCGTGCCTACCCTGCCAGCACAAGGTTCTGAGTTCAATCCCTGGTACAAAAAAAAAAAAAAAAAAAAAAAAAAAAAAAAAAAAAAAAAAAAAAAAAAGTGAGTCTAACCCAAACAAGCTTTCATCCCTATGTGGCCGCTTTCCTGAAACTCTTATAAAGTTCTCCAGTTTTGTGTAGAGCAGCTTTTTACTACATTAAGGAAATTAATTTCAAAAAGGAGGCACTGCATCCTCTGCCATTTACCTTGTCCCACATCCTCATCCAGTCTTTGTTGTATACAAGTCAGTGTGCTTTTGCAGTTATAATCAGTGTGTATGCTGCAACTCATTCCAACTGTTCTTATAAACACTTCTACTATTGATATAACCTGCATACCTGCCAGTTATAGGATTTATATGCCCTTTTAATGGCTAGGCATCTAGATTATGCCCAATTCTTCATGATTATAAATGGCACTGCCATGAATGTCTTTGAACACACCACTTTTTCTCCTTGTTATTGCCTTGGGGCATATTTCCAAGTGGAATTACCAGGTCAAAGGGTAGGAACAATTTTGTGGTGCTTGTTACACAGTGTGACATTGCTCTCTGAGAAGAATGGAGTAATTTACAGCACCCTCAGCAGTGTAGCAGTGTACCTGCTTCCTCACACTGGATATTTATCACCTCGATTTTTGTTAGTTTTAGAAGCACTTTATGGCCTCAGTGATTCATGGGGAGGTGTATGGTTTGTAGATTACTCATGCCATATTTTAAGAGGTTTTTATTCTTTTTGTTAAAATAACAGTAATTCAACAATAATTTTTGTTCGATTTTGTTCAGTGTAGGAAACACTGGAACATATTAGGATTGAGAGAAAGGGAAAATATTCACACATGAATATTCATCACGAGGGTCCTTTGTCACTCAAGGCAAAGATGAAGTTATTGTTACTATCTTGGTGCCTCTCAGTATTTTTTCTGCTTAGCTTTTTATACATGAAAGTATTTTGCATATATACTTTACTACTTTTTGTTGGATAACTATGTGACATATGCATTTCCCTATGTTATTTTACTTTAAGTAAACATAATTGTAATGTTTGTGTAACATTCCATTTCCTAAGTGATTTATACAGCAATTTCCTTATACCTTCTCCCACTGTTAAACATTTGGGATATGAATATCTTTGGGGCTTTTGAATCATGATGATGAAATACTTTTTAAAATGCAAGAAACCTGTGTTTGACATTTCTATGTCATTAGAGATTCACTTAGTCCCAACCCTTACAATTCTGAGCTGGTACAACCAGAAAGTACCTCACGCAGAACCAGTGTCCTCAAATCTCTTCTTTCTTTACCCAGAACCTTTCAGTATTACAACTGGGACCCTCTCAGGGACCCTCCTGGTCTCACACATGTAGAATCCTGAAGTGTGGAGAAATCAGTTTGCATGGGGCCACATGACCCAGGGGGAAAAGAAAATATTGAGAAGGTTCTCTCTTTGGTCCCTCAGGATTGTTCTAAGGCACAGTTCAAAAGGCTCTGCAGAAATTCTGGAAGAACTGAGCATTGGCCACTTTGATAGCACATCCTTGTATGTGCTTTCCGTGCTCTTCTGATCCTGTTCCCTCTCCCTTATTACTAATCCCACATGACTACCCATGCTTAGGCCTTTGTCTCAGGCTTTGCTTCCAGGTAGTCAGGGACCCCAGGGTCCCTTCCTACTCTGTCCTCCCAACTTATCCTTGGAGTGCATTCCTGTGTCCACCCTTGTTCCACCCTGTGTTGAACAATTAATTTTCCTCCTAAGTCACGTAGTGTGTTGTAGATGACAAGAACATTCCCAGGCATGGTTTCATTCCCAAATATGGTAAGCTTCCGTATAGTGGCAGGAATGTTATCGTTTTGTCTAGATGGGGAAACTCGGGTTCAAGGCCTTGTCTAGGGTCACACAATGAGTAGATCGTCAAGATAAAAGGCCCCTCACTACTCCCAACCCTGCCCAGCTCCCCTCACTCCTCCACAAGCCCCTTCTGTTCTCTCAAAAGCAAGTGGCAGAGGCTCCTTTGATTGTCATGTTGATAAAATGTTACGTTGAAGCTAACTGAGGGGCCCTCCTCCCGGTGTACTCTCTTCTCTGTAGAAGTAAACGTGTCCTTGTCCTGTTCGGTGCCATGCTGTTGCTGCTGTCTTTCACTGTCACTGCGATGCTCACCCTGGCTTATAAACTTCCGGTGGCGTCTCTGTCTGCAGCCAGGTAACTAACCGATTCTCACCTACCCCTCTCTGTCCCTTCCGGGGCCAGGACCTCCCAGGGAGAGGTGTGGAATGCCAGGCTGTTTGCGTGGCGTCCATCGCTGGTAGAGAAACTGGAAGGGGAATTTCCGGCCAGGAAGAGAAAGTTCCCTGCATTTTGCCTCCAGACATTTTGCCTCCAGACATTTCAACCTTTCAACTTCCTCCTGGAGTCCTCTTAAAGTCATTTCCCACTGAAATCCTTCTCAGAGGGAGGAGCGCCCCTGTGTGGCTGAAATGTAAACTTCTCGAGTGGCAAATCTCTGCTTGGAAGCTCTGTTTTTAGATGGAGACTGACCCTTAGGACTCTTCCAGATCACACAGGTACTAGGTGGTGTAGGCGTGGTTTGAACCTAGAACCTTACCTACATTTCTGTTTTGCCTCCTCAGTGAGCTGTGTATGATGATTCTTCCTTATAAGCGCTCTGTGTATTAAACCGGTATCACTGATGAATGATCACAGGCTTGTCTAGTCTCAATTCAGCAATCGAGTGACACAAATGAAAATCACATGTGTCAGTAGGGCATCTGTTCAATTTCCTCTAGTGGCCATCTAGTCTCACCTATCATCCTCCTACTTGCTCACTCCAGACCAACCACCCTGGCTTCACTCAACATGCGAACCCTCTGCCCCCAGCTCAGAATGCTCTTCTATTAGTTGAAGATTTTGCAGGGCTTTCTTTTTCACTTTTTCCAGATGTTTTTGCAAATGTCACGTTCCCTGAGCAGCTGACCTCCCCATATAAAACTGTCCAGAACAGTGCTGTACGTAAGTGCTCAGTATGTATTTGTGAGTGGTGGAATGTGTGACTGACTGACCGACTGAATGGTTACACTGCAAGCCTCCCAGAGAACACTAAACTCTTTTCATATCATGTCATCTGCTTTGTGAGCATGTCCAGGTGACCCAGGAGGAGGCTTCCACCTGCCCAGTCCTGTGGTTCTCAACCTTGGATGCACTTTCAGCTGGATGTTCTCAACTCTGAATCCTTCCATCCTTCCCTCTGTCAGATTGAATCAGCATCTCTGGAGGTGGGGCCCAGGCAACTGACTTATTCGGCAGCTCCCAAGGATCCTAATGGGCAGCCCAGGTTGAAGAACCACTCACTGATCCTCAGGAGACTTTCCTGCCTCTAATCATCCCAGCATGGACAGTGATGGAATTCAAAGCTAAGGTTGCTTCTAGTTTTGGGGGTAACCATGGCACATTTAAAACAGTGGCTGTCAATCTAGGCTGCACTTTGGAAGTCCAGGAGAGCTTTAACAGTCATCCTCCATGGTTCTGTGCCCAGAGATCCTGATTCAGTGAGTCTGGGTGTAACTTGACCATTGCCTGAGATAGGCACTGTGTAAATGTTGCTTCTCAAACAAGGGGTATCAGGTCACCTGGAGGGTGTGTCGCTGCATAGATGTCTGGGCCCACCACCAGTTTCCTCCTATTCAGTAGGTTTAGGGGAGGTATGGATTTGGATTTCTAGTAAGTTCTTAGGCGATATTGCTGTTGGTGTCAGGGGACCTCACCTTAGAAATCACAGCATCAAAGAATACTCACTGGTGTCCACTTAAGGACCCAGCCTGGACCGCTTGCAACTCTTTTTTCTCAGGAAAGTCTCTTCTGGTGCCACATTCTTGGAACTATCTTGATGCATTGGTCACCAGAATTGACTCTTTAAAATGAAAGATGAAGTCATCATATTTCCTTGGAATCTGGGGTGCGGGTTCAAATTTGAACAAATCAACTCAAAGGCAACTCAGATCAAGAAAAGGAAGGATCATGAGGCCACTGTTTGCGTATCATTATGGAGGAAAGGAACACATGTGCCCCAAATCTACCCTTGGATTTGCTGGTTACTTTAATGGGCATTGGAGGGATTCCCTTTCCTATGCCCAGATCAAACATAACCTTTGGCCTTGTTTCCTTATATTTTTCAGTGAAAAAGAGACTGTGCTATATTTCATGGAATATTATACCAAACCCTACTGTCGGTGTGGACCATTCCTTGTGGGCCTCTTTTTGAGTATTTTCATGCATCAAAACCATCAGCTGAACATTCTTAAAACTAAGGTATGGTTTCTCCATGCCTCCCTTTAAAGGCAAGGGTCTGGGTAGGACTGGTGTGGCCTGTCTGGCCAACCTCTTCCAAGGAATTAGATTGCTAGGTACTTTATTGTGCTGTAGTGTGTTGTGAATTCTTTTCATGCTGAAGGATGGGAAGAACTTACCTTTTTTCAGATTCTAATTCTCTTTACTGAGCTCCCCTTATGAAGCTCCATATTTGGAACCCAGTGGACCCTCTTCCACAGAGACTTGGTACAGACCCAAAGAAACTAGTGATATGGGAGCTCACACCCAGTGAGATGGGTGTGAGATGACAATGACAAGATCTTCTTTGGGAGGGGACAGTAAGTTGGGCTGGATTTTTAATAGCATAAATTCTGTGGTTTCTACTTGTTTTGTTTTGGTTTTTTTGTTGTTGTTTTTTTGGTACTGGGGATCAAACTCAGGCCCTTGTGCTTGCAAGGCAGGCAGCAGAACCCCTGAGCCAACTCCCCGGCCCTGTGGTTTCTATAGACAGGATTTTTGGTTTTACCTGATGGTTCCATCTGGGGATCGAGACATAAGGTGTCCATAATGGAAGAAGCTGTTACTTTGCCCACCTGAACACCTATTTCTTTCCTTGGTTCTCTTATGGCCAATCACTCCAGCTCACCATCCAACTTCACTGTTCAAGCTGGATGCCTGGGTTCACTTGCAAGCCATCTTCTTATTGACCACTCCCCACACCTCAGACAACCACAAGCCCTGCAGATTGACTTTCCTACTACCCTGTCTGAGCCTCTCTAACTGACCTTGTTGAAGTTCTTCTCATCTCTTGTCTGGATTTCTTCCCTAGTTCACTTGCCTCCAGCCTTGTTGATCTCAAATCTACTTTAGAATCCACCTTGGCTGTGACTTTGAACTATGCAAAACTATTTTAACAGCTTCCAGGATGAAGTTTGATGTGTTCATGAAGGTCCTCAAGGTCCCCATTATGAGGCTGTGCTTCTCCAGTGTCATCTTTTTTTCTGCTATCTGCCTGGAGCATGCTTTTCTACTCTCCAACTTGCTCAATACCCATTCCTTCCTTCTGACTGAATTCTGTTTAGCTTTAAAGGCTCACTTGGAGTTTCCTCCTGTAAGAAGTTTTCACTTACCCACCCCCACCCCCACCAGGTTGTGTCTCTCCTTCCTATTCCACCAGGTTCTATGCATTTCTGTTCTTAGCACAGGGTAACACGCTCTTATACCAGAGACTGTGAGTTCCTTGAACACACCATCTGTTACACTCCTCTGAATATCCAGCGTCTGGTTCTGAGATATTCTAATTCACTGAAGGTGTTCAATAAGTGAATAGATCAATATTAATTTGCTGCCCAGTGGAAGAAAGACCAGGAATCCTATTGTACTATTAGGATACAACTCTGCTAGGCCCACCTTTCCTGCCTTGGTTTTGTGTGTACCACATTTAGACTTCTCAGGGAAGAAACACTGGTGCAGGGAGAACCTTGTGTTGCTCACAGCAGGAGCAAGACACAAGATTTATCCAGAAGGAAATGATGGAGAGGGGCTGTGTGACTTTTTTAAAAAAAAATGTTAGACTTATATTCCCTGGCCATGCACTGTTCAGTTGTAGATTGTAACAGAGTTGTATCAACATAGTTCAGGTTATATGGATCTCAGGGAAAGAATGGGTGTGAGTGAAAGAGAAAACCTAAGATAAAAAGGGAGTACTGGGGAATCACTTCCAGGGCCAGTATCAGGACCAGAAAGCACAGAGCTAGAACCCAGCCAAGCTGAGCTGGAGAGACAATGTAGAAAGGTTGGATAGACTCAACTCAAACCTTTAGAAGTTGGAAAATAAGGACCCAGAATCTGAGCTGGAGGTAGCTGGTGTGTGCCATGTGCTAGGAATGAGATGGCATGCTCCCTGCTGGCTTGAGTAGACAGACAGGCAAGGACAGGAAGGGAATATATATCTGGGATGCATTCTGTAAGACTACAGGTCCGTAGAATCCAAGGAATTAGCCAAGGCACAAAGGGGATCCTAGGCTAACAGTGCCTTAAGGCTCATCTTTCTTTGTAGCCAGAGACTATGGTAGGAACTGGGGACCCAACGTGGTCTCAGAGACAAAATGTTGGCTCAGTTAAAGGTAGACATCATCATAGCACAACTAGAATATGGAGAAGAAAGACAGCCTGGAAAGATGGATTTGGGTCTACAAAGGTCAGCAAAAGTAGCATGACCTTAAACAACCAGTAGTAGCATTTAAATCATGGGGCTGGTCTCCATCTTCTCAATTCTTCCACCATTTTATGTCTCAGTGACTAAGGTGTAGCCCAGGAAGGGGCTATGCACTGTAACCTTCACATTTAGGGCGAGGCCAGGATCAATCAAGAAGCCCACTTTGGTTAGAAGGAAATGATAGGATTTGAGCAGTACCTTGCTTTTTTCTTTCAATCTTCTTTTGAAATGGTAATAGATTCACAGGAAGTTGTCAGAATGGTACAGAGAGGTCTTATGAACCCTTCAGCCAGGTTCCACCTGTGGTACCATGTGACATAACCATGGTACACGATCACACCCAGGACTTGATGTTGGTTGGATCTATAGACCTTAGGTCCACTGGTTTTATTTGTACCCACTGTGTGTGGGTGTAGTTCTACAAAATGCTGTGTCATGTGGAGATCTGTGTAACTACCATGACTAAGGAGCAGAACTCTTTTGTCACCACACAGCCTCCTCATTCCATCCTTTTATAAAACTTTTTGGTACTGGGTATCAAACTCAGGACCTCGCGCTTGCGAGGCAGGCGTGGTGCCACTGAGCTAAATCTCCAGCCCTCCTTATTCCATCCTTTACAGTTATACACCTACCTTTCTTCCAGATCATTCCCAACCCCTGGTGACCACTAATCTGCACCTTCATTGTAGTCAAATTTGTGCAGTGACAGGTTCACACATAGAGATCTGAAGTGACAGACATAACACCAAAAAAAGTGAGTTTGTGCAAAACGACATACATAGCTAGTGTGGGCTGTGAATTGTTTCTCCTTTGCCTGTAGGTGCAGGCCCTGATGGGGTGGATTTGCTCCCTACTGACCCTGTTTGTAGTTGTCGCTTTGGCGTATGTAGTGGATGACATCTCTGCTGTCTCCTCTGTGGTCGCTGCAGTCTACCAGGCTCTTCACCGGACCCTGTGGGCAGTGGCCGTGGGCTGGGTCATCTTTGCCTGCCAAGAAGGCTATGGAGGTAGGAGGTGTCACTGGGCTGTACAGCTGGACTCATACCCTGGCCCTTTGAAAGTGACAAATTTGAAATAAAGTGCACACCAAAAGGGGCTTCTGTTTGTTGGAGTGGTTGGTGAATGGTTCACACTGACTCAAAACATTGATTTGCCCATATGCTTGGGGAAAACACTCTATACAGTTTTTATACTGGTTTCTGTACAAATGCAGGTCCTGAAAGAAAAACTTGTGGTCTCTCCAGTGACTCTGGTTTAGAAGTTAGAAAAGGATTCAAGCAGAGAAGTGTAGTGAGGAAATAGGGTAGTTTAGTACCATGGACAAGAAGACTTCCGGTAGCACTGCTCTGGGGCTTCAGTTTCCTTGTCTTGAGTGGTGGAGACATAAATGTTGCCAATATCCTCTTCCATAAGGGGAAAATGAGTTTCTCTCACATCAGCTTTGGGGTGCAAGGACTTAGGCAGATCAAGGATATAAATGGAAAGCAAGGAATTTCTTCCAGATTAGAGATACTGTTTGTTCAAAATCCCTAATGTTTTCCTCCCTTTTTCCTTGTTTGACCCAAAATGGGAATGGGGTGCATGTGGTGTCAGCAAATGGCATGAGAAGGCTGGCAGGCTAGAAAAGGCTTTGGCCCCAAACTTCCCAGAAGCCCTGAAGCCAAACTTTCCCAGAAGTCCTGTTGAGCTGGGGCAGGCACAGCCGCTTTACTCCAGGGACAGCATCAGTGTGAGCTCAGGCTGAGCCTTTGTGCTGAAACCAGTTACCTCGGCAACGGTGGCTGGAAATCATGGCTCAAAGAAGAAAACAACAGCTGATCCTAACAACTCCTGTTGATCCAGCACATACTGTGTACCAGGTCCTGGGGAAAACGTCACTCATGGGACCCCAGGAAACACTGCCCACACACCTATGAGACAGACAGGTAACCAGTTCTTTTTCTCAGTGAGAACAGTGGTGCCTGGAGATGGAGCAACACAGAGGGGCCCTCAGCCGGAAAATGCACCCAGAACCAAGTGCAGAGTCAAAGGTCAATGCTCCTCATTCCTGCGTGATAGCCACCTCTGAGGTGTGCATTAAGATCATTCTGGGGGCCGGGGATTTAGCTCAGTGGTTCCACCTCCTGGCTTGCAAGCACAAGGGCCTGAGTTCGGTCCCCGGTACAAAACAAAAACAAAAACAAAACAAAACAAAATCATTCTGGAATTTTTGAGTATTTTAATATAATGATGAAAGATTTGTTCCTTAATATTCCAATTTAAGAAGCTTCCCCTTACATGAGGAAATGATGCTGAACAGGAAGTGGGCTGTGTTCTCTCTGAATGATGCATCTGTATTTATGGGAAACTTCAGATCCCACAACCACAACCCTACACCCCTCCCCAGCCCAGAACACTGCTCCTGAACAGAGCCTCAGAACAGGCCCATCAGAGGCGGATTCTGGTATTGTGGTACATGGAAGTCTTGCTGCTGTCAAGAACAACTGGCTAATGCAAGGATGAGAGAGGAATGACTTTGGTTGCGATAATTAAACAAATTTTAGCCTTATCATTGCCAAGGAACTAGAACTCCCCCAATCATTAGTCTGAGTAAGAGTGACACTCTTTTCATCTAAGTGACAAATGAGCCCCTTTGCTTGTTCTTGAGCAGTATGTCAAAAGTGTCTTGTCATAGCCAACCCCCAATTACAGGTGCAACCGATGACAGGTTTGTATCTCCAGCACTTTCTCCGAGATGTCAAGATCGACGAGTAGGAAGGGAATGGAGGAAGCCAGTGTTTAAGTACATTTTTGGAAAACATCTTTCACTCTTTTGAAAAAAGTAACATTTTAAGAAAGTTTTAATGGAGACTCTCAAGACTAGAAAAGATCATAGTAGTCCAAATAACTATTTCAATTATCATGGGTTAGTAGCAACAAGGACCATGCAGGTCTTGCTAAACTCAAATTTGCCTTCTTGAGTTGTTAGGCATCTTCTGAACATGCTACTCTTTTGGTTAAAACCCTTCAGGATATGCTGTCACCTTCAGCAATCTTTACGTTTTGGCTTAAATTATTTTTATTCTAATTTCACCTAAACAGGTAGAAAAATAAGGCTAGATATAGAGTTTATGTTTATAGCACACATATGTAAAGCCAAAAGGAATTTTCTTTATTCTTCCTTTTATGTGTGTGTGTGTGTGTGTGTGTGTGTGTGTGTGTGTGTGTGTGTGTGTGTGTGTGTACTGGGGATCTAACTCACGACCTTGCCTCTGAGCTACATCCCTGGCCCCAAAATGGATTTTTAAAGTGACTACAAAACTGTAAAACCAGTGAGATCTGCATTAACATGAACCTAATGCGGCAGTCTTCAGAGTTATTGCAGCTGACCACCAAGGTATGGTGTTGTCGGCTTTAGGGCACGTTACTGTGTGTTTGACCTACCTGTGTGAGCACTCACTCTGTGCTGACTTAATTTTCCTTTGCTCTGTTGGGTTCCATAGTCACATATCGATTCACCTTATTTGGACTTCACTTGGGGAAAATGCTGCTTTTGTCTATAAGTTCATCTTTGCTTATTCATTTAATTACATGAAATATTTTTTGTGTATTTGTTTTGGGACAGGCAATGTTCTGGATGCTGGGGCTATAGCAATAAATACGAAAGAAACCTCTTCTTTGCAGGAGGTTCTGATGAGTAAGGGTAGTGGAGAGACTAGAAGACTCCAGGGTTTCAGGTCTTCATCAGCCCAGAGAGGGGCTTGGGGTTTGATGAATCAGTGCCCATTCCTTCCCCAGGTCTGGTGAACCAGATGCTTTCATGTGACCTTTGGAGTTTCCTGTCCAGCATCAGTTACGCCTGCTACCTGGTGCACCCGATTCTGATCATGCTGTACAACGGACTTCAGGAGACACCCACTCACTACACAGACACCAACATGGTGAGCTTGTGCCCCGCCCCGAGTCCTAGGATGATGCCGTCATTTGTTCTCTTCTTAGCAACAAAGCAAACTATTGGCTTTGACAGAATCTTGCTTTGTTTTGCTTTTTTCTAAAGATCCTAATTGTTCTCTGTTTCATCTGAGGGAGAAGGAGAGAGGGTTTCGGCACAGGATAACATCTTTATTTTCTTTTGAATGTTTGGGGTTGTTTGTTCTACAGACCCATTTTTCATAGCCAGTGTGGTGCACTCTAAGACCGTGGAGGGTAACTGTGTGCACCGTGCTCTCTTTCCGTGCAGTTCTATCTCTTCTCTGGACACTGTGTGCTGACCTTGGCTTCCGGGCTGGCCCTCACACTGTTCATCGAGAAGCCCTGGCAGGAGCTGAAGCGGTGCCTGCAGGGCCCTGAGTGTTCTGGCTGAAACCCAGAAGGATGGACGGTCCTTTGTTGATGGTGAAGAGCAGAGGCAGGGACAGACTCCTGAGGGGGTGTGGACCTGATTTTGTGAACATCCAGCACGTACAAGTTCTCTGTGCTTAACTGCAGGAAAGAGCTCTGTGATAATGTTTGTAGCAGTACAATGATCACTCTCTTTTGAAACTTTTAGGCAAAAATAGCTGGATATTTTGGGAGTTGGCTTGCCTCTGAGGATCCTAGTGTTAAAGCAGATGACAATGGAGACCACACCCAAGCGATTCCCTAAATGACAAAGTCAGTGCACCCTCCTAAGTGACTTCAACCTCTTGCAAACATGAACAAGACTTGAGTTATTTCTTGTAAATGTTTTCATTATAGTAAAGAAAAACAGAAGTTAAGCTCAACCAATCAGGAGCAGCCAGAGAACTTCAAGTACCAGGTAAACAGGGCCTTTCCAGTGAGAAACACCAAATAAGGAAGCTGTTGTGAACCAAGAGCAATCACAGTTTCTCTTTACCATACTTCCCCTGTAAAGGCCTCCTCTCATCCTCTGTGTCCTCAAGGTGGCGCTCTTGAGCCACATCTGATTTGGAGCAACTTGATCGTGATTGTTTACTCAAATAAACTCTAGAAATGTATTGTGCCTGTTTATTTTTAACAATATAAGATTTTTAACAATATAAGATTTTTAACAATATAAGATAGATGTAGCAAATTTATTGTAATTCGGGTTATGATGCTCACTTGGGCTATCACCACGTACAATTGTCTATGCCTTGCTCTTGATAGACTTCTCTTTTTCCCCTGTACTGGGGATTGAACCCAGGGATTTCACACTGAACTGCATCTGCAGCCCCTTTTTCATTTTGAGGCAAGGTCTCTCTAAGTCACTATTGGGCTCAAACTTGTGATCCTCCTGTCTCAGCCTCCCAGAATGCTGGCCTTACAGGCATGTGCCACCTTGCCTGGCTAGAGACTTGCAGCTTTACCCTGGAACCTCAGAGTGACATGAATCATGAGCATGCACAGTTTGTGGGGTTTTTCATCCTAAGCTTTTGAACATTACCTTTCCTATACTGTGGTTGCTGCTGTGGGTTGAATTGCCCTCCACCCAAAAGATGTGTTGAAGTCCTAACCCTCGGTTTCTCATAATGTTACCTTGTTTGGTGATAGTCTTTACAGGGGTACTTAAGTTAAAATGAAGTCATTGGGGCACAAGGCCTTTATCTAATGACAGATGTCCTTGTACAAAGAGACAGGTATACACAGAAGGAAGATGCTGGGGAGAAACCTAGGGAGAAGACGGCCATCTACAACCCAAGAAATGCAAAGATGGCTGGCAAACATCAGCAGCTGCACGAATCAGGAAGGGGTTCTCCCCTAGGGCCCTCAGAGACAGCATGGTTCTGGGAACACCTCAATTTCAGACTTTTGCCCTCCAAAACTATGAGAGAAATATATATTTCCATTGTTTGAAGCCACCCAGCTTTAGTACTTTGCTATAGCAGCCCCAGGAAATGACAGTATTCCCCTTTACCCACAGGGGTTATGGTCCAAGGTGCCCAGTGGTTGTCTAAAACCAGGGAGAGTCCCAAACTCTATATAGTGTGCTTTTTCCTATATATACATACCTTTATACATATGATAAAGATTAATTTATAAATTATGCATAATAAATAAGCAATAACCAATAAGAGACTAATCATTACATTGCAAGGAAAGTTAAGTGAATGTAGATTCTGTCTCTCAAAATACCTCCCTGGACTTTCCCTTTTTCATGCAAAGAAAGCACTTCGTGGCCTACCTCTAGTATATCCAAATCCCAAGCATCTCTACTCTCATGCTCGGGGCCATCAGTAAGCAAAGCCAGGTTTACTTGAACACGAGCACTCACACTGCTGTGGTTGATGTGATAACCGAGTCTACAAAGTGACAAAGGGGCAGGTGGGTAGTGTATACACCTGAGCCAATGGATGGATGGTTCATGGGTTTTTCCCCCTCATCAATCCTGGAAATTCAGGCAAGTGCTCTCCCACGGAGCCACATCCCCAGCCCAAAGGATGGTCCAAAAGCCCAAATGAGAAGGTGAGGGTTTGAGAGAAAGACTTCATTATGCTCCTCAAAAGAGTGTGCAATTTAAAACTATGAATTGTTTATTTCTGGAATTTTGTTTTTACTACTTTCAACTGTGGTTGACTGGAAGTAGCTGAAACTGCAGAGAGCAAAACTGCAGACATAAATCCCCAGAAACTAACTGGAAACAAGAGGCCTCAGTGCACTGCTATCCCAGCCTCCTGAGTTTCTGGCAATGGGGTCTAGAGACAGGGGGCACTCGAAAGGTCACAGGGAACATCTCGGTGCCCAGGTTTTCAGGCTTGAGTGCTTTCCCTGGGGTATAACTCCACATCAACCACCCACACCTGTGGATGTCTAGTAAGGTCTCGGGACTAAAGGGTGCTTCTTGGCACAAAATGTGTGCTCTGCGCTGAGCAAGGTCTCTGAAAAGAGGATCATTGCGGGGTGAGAAGGGCAGGAAACTCAAATCCTCTGAGAAGCAGCTGATAGCTGACCTTGGCTTTTCCAGCCAGGGTAGGAAATGAGTCATATCTCCCTGAGTCCTGGTGTCTACGGACAGACTCTGACCTGAGCAAGGGAGGTGTGGACAGTCTCCTCTGTTAAAAAGCAGGGGGTAAAATAATAATAATAAT